TATCTCCAAAAGGACGGTAGACAAAAGTACAAACGTTCCCCACAAGAAAAAAAAGCAGACCCTCCTTTTAACAAAAAATCCAGTCTCAATTCAAAAGAACTGCCTAAGAAGTTAAGTACCTTTAAAAAAAAATCCTGATGCAAACTAAAAGAATCAAGAAGCTCTTCCACAGGGCATGAAATTAGAGACCCACTTTTATTGGGTACAGGGCTAGGATACCTGTGCTTGGCTTGTGAGCATAGGAATCGGTGGCTCTTTTTCACTCTGACTTGTTCCCATTCTGATGAAAACCTAACGAGGCTGTGAGAATGCCGCTTCCCCTCATCACTTACCAGCCCATCCTCTCCCGGTCCCGGGAAGGTCACCGCAAGATCATGACCATTCTCATCTAAAGCTTTGATTTCAATGCCCAAGTTGGATTCGGATTGTTTCAGCCAGTTTTGCAACACGGTCTTCACATCGATGCTCTGCCAAATGCCAGCGCCTGGGCTCATGTCGAGTTTCAGGGATTGGATTCCCGTGTATCTCGTCCCATCTTCCATGGGCTCAACGAGCCTCAGGATTTGCACAAACACCGTCGTGGGCGTCATGACGGGTCTCAGATAGATCCACAGCTGGGCCTGGACCACTTCATTGAATTGTATTTTAGAGTTGAAATTAAAGAAGCAGCATTTGGGTTTTCCTTCCACTTGCGTCAGAAGATCAGCTAAAAAAATGAATCAGAAAAGAGTTACTGAAATTATTTCTCATTAAAAAAATGAAGAAACCCTTTCATATTGACTGGTGAGTATTTTTTCTATTGGATTAATGAATGTATATTTAGTCTTTTAAGATGAAAAACTGTAGAATTTCATTCATAACTCAGAAAAATATCCAAGAAAAGAATGACTCTAGTTCTTCAGAATTTTTTAGATGTTTTTTCAGCTGTTTATGAGGAATCTGTCCCTTTCCAGAGAACTGTAGACTTGGGGAAACCCTGAGAAGGTTCGAACAGCGGATGAGATTTTAAAATGATGATGATTAGAGAGAACAAGAGACACCGTGGAGGAACATCCACTTAGAATTCTTTGGGAATCTGAGCAGTTACACTTACTGAGCAGCTATACCAATCAGTCTGGAGGAGGAACCCTCCCCCCAGGCCTGAATTACCTGGGGACAAGACACTGAGCCGCAGCCAAGCCTGGGCAGTGAGCAGAAAATACAGGACATCGGCTACGTGTGGGCTCTGGAGTAGCGTTTTAAAGGATCGAACCCAGGCAGGTAATTAGTTCAAGGTTAACTTGGGGCTGTTTGGAAAGTTAGGAAGCGCGTCTTCGGTGCCGGGCTGTCGGGGTGAGCAGAAGCCCTTGGAAATGTCTCTCCTCTTGGTTTCCCTGAGATGGTTTATAAATAAGGCAGATCTGCTCCGGGACCAGCTGATAACAGAGTCTTCAAGGAAAAGCCTTAGTTGCATTATCACCTGATGACTGGACAGGGAGAACACTATTTTGAACCTGTCTCGAGCCCGGTGTAAAGGGCAGAAAGCACTGCATAAGGCAAGACCCGCAGACACTCGGCACCCAGTCGTTCTGGTCGTGCTTCCGCGAAGGTGCCTGCCTCCCTTCCTTGGACTGTAGTTTTGAACTGACTGCAGAAGGAATTGTATGACATATATTCTCTTTCAGGAGCAAGGTAGATACTACAGGTAGTCGTCCTCCCTCCCCGAAGAATTGGACAATATTTTAGAAGTTCTTAGGCAGCATGCCTGCCTGGAAATATGCAGGCCGGAGGCTTGCAGCCATAGCACTGTGGTCCAGCTTTAAGCAGGGCTTGGTGAGCCATAACCTACTCGGCTGAAGCGTTTATTTCTTAGGCATTTTCCGATAATTAGCTCTTGATCATCATTATGCTGTGTTTGCTTTGTCACTGCACGTTTTAATACACTGCATTTAAGAAATACTTTCTCATACTCTCCAGTGTAATCGCTTTTAAAATTAAATAGCTTAACTTTCGAAGAACACAGACACCCTGTGGGGAATGGTTTTGAATTCCAGGAGTCATTCCAGGTGGCCAGCAAGTGCTCAGCTGGGCTTAGACCTACAGACCCGCCCCCCGTCCCCGTTCTCAGTGAAAAGCCTAATCACGAGACATGGGTGTTTCAAGCAAGCAAATGCAAGCATGGGTTGTATGTGAGTTGTAACGTGGTTTGTAGCTCCTCTCCTAGTGGCCTTGGTGCTGGTGACAGTGGCAGCCTGGCACGGTACCTCTGCCACATCCCACTAAGCACCATGAATGCGTGGCGAGCACTTTCAGATCTGAGTCTCATGAAATCCTGAGAAAACAACGCAAAGCTGTGGTCCCTCCTACTTACATAAAACCCCCGGCTTGTTAAAGAGCCTGAGCACAGACCGTGTCTCACACACCCAGGCGGGCAGCCGGCAGGGCCGGTGCGGGCGGCTACTCACGTGCTGTGGGCATGGTGATGACCTTCTCCGTGGTGGCGTGGTAGTCGTCCTCCTCCAGGAAGCCCTCGCTGTCGCCGTCCAACTGTACGTCGTCCTGGTCGATGAGCTCCTGCAGCGGCGGGGCCCTGGGCAGGAGCTGCCGGATGACTTCCTTGCTGATGTTGGGCGCTGTTTCCAGGCGCAGTTTGCTGAGGATCTCGATCTTTATGGCTTCTATTCGGGACGACTTTGTGTTTCTGCCTCCAGGTGCACGCGTGGCATGGCCCCTCTTTCTCCACATCGCCTTTCTGCTCGCTGTTCCCACTCAGGCCCACGGGGCCGGTGATGATCAGCATGAACAGGTAAATGGACACGTAGACTTGCAGCTTTTGCATGATGTGGAAACTGTGCGGTCTTTTCCTGCTCCTTTTCCTCCTTTGCTTTTGAGTAATGCCAAGCAAAGGGGAATGCCTGGACAGTCGGAGACACCAGTGGCCACCCAGGGAATCTTGCACGCTATCTTCCAAGTGGCTTTTTATATTCCGACTCGGATGGGACCAGTGTCTTCAGGACCTGTGATTGGCTCCTGCTCCACAATGAGTCTCGCTGTCAGAGGTTAAACCCTGTCTGTCACAAGTCACCAAGCAGTGTTCTGTTACAGGCCAGGGCGAGCCGATGCATCTGAGTGCTTCATAAAAGAAATAAATCTACAAATCAGGGGAGGGAGAGGTGACAGTTGAGAAATGAAAGTATGTAAACAATAACATGAACTGCACTTCAGTCTGATTCATCTGTACATGTGGGACTCTTCAGTTATAATTGAAACAAGTAAGTCTCAGTTTACACTTCATATTTTACAAGCTGAAATGTTACTTCCTCAAGAATTAAAAATTATTGTATGCCATTTAAGCAAGCATTTGAAGTAAAAAAAATTATTTGTTGTATTACATTATTTTCAGTCCTGGGGAATTAGGAAAATGTAAATTTAAATTAGGAAGACCTGGATGAAAAGTCACAGTTGTCATACTAGTAAAAGGTTTTCAGCTCTAATTTGAGAAACTTTTTTCCTGACTACATTTTTAGCACGTGTTGAAAATCATACTTCTCATAATGTTATAGTGCACATGGAATTATTTTTAAATAATTTAATATATTTTATTCATATAAAAATTGTGCTCATTTTTTTATTATTTACTATTGTTATTTCCTATTCTAAAATTACAGACTACTATCTCTCAGAAGATGTACTGCTTCATAGTTTATTACCAAGAGCATATTGTGAGCCAGTAGAAAATTCCTGAACTTAGAATAAAAAAGTAGTGGACTTTCTGACAAGCAATGTAGCACCTACAACATCCGCCTCAGATGCCAGTGGTAAAAGCAAGACAATGGTCTCTGTCCCCCAGAAATTATGTCAGAATATTGTGAGCACACAAGGGGAGTGCTCCACCGTCAGAGGGCACCCGTTCCCCCCAATACTGTGATGGGTTTGCACCCCTTTGCCATTTCTCATTTTGACCAGAGGGCAGACACCTGGGGGTGCTTGCCGGGAGTGGGGGGGGTAATGGGGAGGGAGGTCGGGGAGCAGATGCGGGGCTCTGTGCTCTACACCTGAGCGGCCCCTGCAGGGGTCACACTCACCCCCTGAGTTTCAGGGCCTGGAGCCCAGCAGCCCCGCCAGCAAGAAGCAGAGCTCCCCCCCACCCCCCCGCTCTTCTCGGGGAAGCTCGGGGCTCCTAAGAAAGCTAATCTGTTACTTTTTTTCCCCCATGAGAGTGCCATGGTTCATATCAAATATTTATTAATTTTAGGTTGCTACCACCTTTGCACATTGTCCACTAACTTCCTGCCGCAGTGCACTAAAATGCAGCTCAGTAGCCTGAAAAGTTCATGCGTTTTCATCAAATTCTTAAGAGGCATCTACATCTTGAAAGGACAGAACAGGGCTGATAGCTGTGTCCTTAACCCCTCTTCCAAGAAAAAGCCGAAGAATGTATCAGTTACTCAGCCTGCCCTTATCTCGACCAATGGGAAAGCAGGGGAAAACTAGCCCAAGGCCAAGAGTATGCTAGCCACCCCCCTGTCTTTGTGTAACCAGACACTACCTGCACCCTGCCCTTGCGTCACTAGCCCCCGGCCCTCACTCTACCAACCGGAATCGGCCAAATCAGTGGTCAGAGTGTGCCCCCACCCCCCCCACCCCAAGCCCTCTAAATTCTTTGTTCCCTTGGGACTCGGGGCTCTCTCTTGCATCCAGTAATGGAGGCGGGGGGTGGGGGGGAGAACCAAGTCCCGGGCTTGAATAAAAGACTCAATGCTTTTGCATCGGAAAAGGCTCCCTGGTGGTGGATTATTGGGGACCCCGAACTCTGGGCATAACATTTGGGGGCGTGTCCGGGATCCCCAATTCCCACGAGGGACCCCACTCCGGAGAGTCTACTGACCGCGGTAAGTGTCTGTGTGTTGTCTGTTCTGTTCTGTGCGAGCTCGCTTCTGTAATCTGTGCCTGATAAGATCTAAGTGGACGCGCAGGACGATTTCGGGCAGGAGGAGTCAGGGGACGCCGTCTACCTTGAGAGTGGTGGGGGTCATCAGCACCACAGTGTAGGGACCCTTCCAACGTGGCTCGAGGGTCTCCCGGCGGTGCCTTCTGACATAGACCCAATCTCCTGGTCTGTGCTGATGAGGAGTTGGGGTTGGGCTGGTCTCGTAGATGGCGCGGAGGCGCGGCCAAATGTCCTCGTGTGCCCTCTGGAGCCTTCTCAAGGAAAGAGATAGTTCTTGCAGCAAGAAAGTCAGCTTTAAGGTTAGGAATGATAGGGGGTGGCCTGCCAAACATGATAGGAGAGCCACCCAGTCCCCGCCAGTTTTCATGGTTCTTTTCTACCTGCCCTGAACTCTGGGGCCTATGAGCACAATGTACTTTCCAATTTGCCCCAATAGCCCTGGTTACTACCTGCGTTACTTGTGAACCCTGTTTATTAGTTACAGCACTCTGCTTTCTTGCCTTTCTACCAGTTCCCTTTGTGGCAGAGCAGCAACCAGGCCTTTTTCAAGGGAGGGCGCTAGAAGGGGATATCAGCCCCTCCTTTGCTAGCAGCAACAGGTACCAAACCCTTTCAGTACATTTGACCAGCTTCATTCCCGCCCACCTTTACAGATTCCAAGGCTCATTGTCTTCCTTTAACCAGCAAGCCAAATGACACTGGCCTGTATTATTTAATTCAGCACAGGCGGGGGGGTGGGGGGGAGCATAAAATCTCTGCCCTGAGGAACTGTGAGCCCCACCCTTAAATGTCTCAATCAGACTAGAAAAGCCACAAATACCTTTTAAATCTACCCCTGAATTCCAAAATTCCAACCCAGCACAGAATATCACATAGCAAATCAAAGTTCCCTGCAAACAAACAGACAGAGATGTTTACTAGTTAGGCGGGCCGATTCCACCTCTGACAGAGAGCAAGCGCCCTTGGGGAAAGCCGCTCGGGGCGTTTTGCTATTGGTCAGAGCACTTAACCTTAGAGAAATCAAGGGTGTGCTTTTTTCCCCCACAGACTTGCACACTTACATGAACAAATAATTATACCTAAGTAGACATACAAACATTAAATAAACATTTATATTTATACCCTTTTAGTGAACAAGTACTTTTACAGTCTTGGGATCTTGAGCAGATAACAGGAACAGCGCCCAAGTCCCCTGATGGGGGCCTGACAGGAACAGATGTGGGGGCCTCCCTTTCCCACATCCCAGGACAGGATTCTTGACCTATGTCTCATCCAGATAGAAACGGTACTCATCACAAACAAACGAACAAATCCAAAACCAAAATAATTAACATTACACATATATAAGCAATAAGGACAGATCAATTTACAGAAGCAGAGACAGCATGCAATCTAGACCACAGCTTTGGGTAAACACATTATCTAGAGTCCTTGGGTAACATAGGTTATACTTAGGCATGTCCTGGGTCTCCAGAACACTGAACTGGCAAGTTAACTGGAGCCCTCCCGACCCTGGGACAGCTGTGCTGTCCCTCCCAGGCAAAGGAAAAATGTGCCCTTTAAGCCCAGTATGAAACCACAGTTTCTACCTGAAATAATTGTACTTTACTTTAGAAATTGGATTACTGCTATCAGTCCCTTTTAAAGACTTTGACATAACCTTTAATTGTCCTTAGTTTAAGGAAAGCAGGGTTTTCTAGATTTCAGAGATAGGCTTAAAAAAAACCCGAGAGGGAAGCACACTTCCTGCCCCATCCACATTTCTGCAGCAAAACTCCGCCTTAAAGCTCCACCCCTGAAATTCCATCCTGCCTCAGTGAGACATTGCTAAATCAGAGGGAGGGGCCTTTGCTGTTTCAAGATGGCGGCCCCCAGGGGAGCGGCAAGTCATGTGGCTGTATTGTAGACAAACAGAAATCTTATTAGCTGTTTATACCTTTTATAATCATTTTAAAGAATATCAATTAAATTTAAACTGGTCCTTGCATCAAAAATCTTCAGTTGAGGTCACAAAATCAATCCTCCCTTCTCAATCAGACCAATAAGCAAAGGCATTTAGTTATTACAACTACATAATTTTTCCCAATTCAATCCGAACCTTAACCTTTTAGCTGGCAAGTTAAATATTCAGCATTTCTCAATACTCAACCAACAGATTTAATTCTGTCTTCTAGATTTTTCATGAGGCAAATTAGAGTAAACTTTACTTTTTACTCTCAAGCGGCTCTGGAAAACCACATTTGAACTTTGCAAAACAGGTTCTGGCCTACCTGGTCTTTTCAGATGTAAATTGACCACATTCTTTAAGATTTTGCTACAGGTGGGAGGCGACTATCCCCTTCCTCCATTAAGAAAAGCTTTCTTAATTAACAAAGGACCAGTTTTTTTCCCCCCTTGGAAAAACTGTTCTTTATTATGGAAATGCCAATCCTGCTGCTAGAATCTAGCTAGCATTTTTTCCCCTGAGTAAATGATCAGTCTTGGGCTCCATCCTGCACATTTGTAAGGAGACTCCAGCTCAAAACTCTATCCAAAATCGGACAATGCACGCGTTTGTTTTAAGCCACTTTTCTCCTTACACGTGCACAGAAATCCCAGACGCATTTACTTGGGGAGGGGGTGACCTGTTTTCACAGAACCTTACTCAGATGCCCACCTGACTGAAGTCGTGGAGCCACACAAAGGAGGGGAGAGGGCAGGCCCCCTCCCTTTACACTCACACTTTCACCAGACATTCATTCAGAGTTTAAACAATCCATCCAATTTCTAACAATTTCCCAATTCCTGAGGGAGCTCTATAGCCTCCCCTAACCTCTTTGAAATGATCAATCACAATACCCAAAGGAGCAGTCTGAGTCCGTCATAACGTCCGTCCAGCAAGTCCACAAAATAAAACGGAAACACAAACAACTAAAGGGCCCCAAAAAAGTACAGCCTTCCAACTCCATGGAAGCAAACTCGAAACAGTCTTCCAACTCCATGGAAGCCAAACCCGAAAGCTAGACGATGGCCTTACGCCAAACCGGCGGGAGCGACCCGCCTCGTCTCAAATCTGTGAGGGGAAACCACATCCCTCGTGAGGGGAATACTCATCCCTCTTGGGAGGAATACATGTCCCCCGTGAGCTCACACAGGACGGAACACACAAACACACAGACACCTACCGCAGCCAGTCAGACTCTCCAGATCGGGGGTCCCTCGATGGTCTTAGGAACCCCGGGCGAGCCCCCAAATGTTATGCCCAGATTTCAAGATCCCCAATAGACCACCAGGGAGCCAGCCGAGTCTGATGCAAAAGCAGAGAGTCTTTATTTCAAACCCGGGCTTGGCTCCCCTACCCTCCTTACTGGCACA